GGCCCCGCCCCGCCCCGCCGGCGGTTCCAGCAGGCGGAACCGATAGCGTCTGGCACGCCGCGCGACGTCTCCCGCACGGACTCTGAATCCCGAAGCACCGGGCGCCCACGAGGACGCTGTTCTTCGTGGGCTTCCGGGAGCCTGCTGCTCCGGCGCCGACGTAGCGGTCGGTGCGTTCCAGCTCTGCCGCCGCCATGGGGATCTTGGAGAAGATCTCGGAGATCGAGAAAGAGATCGCTCGGACACAGAAGAACAAGGGTGAGGGCCGGCCCGGTTCTGTCCGCCTGTTTTCCTGTCTGTAAAATGGGCTAACAGCTCCCGCGGGAGAGCTGGAGCGGGCTCGGAGGCCGCGGAGGAGTGCCAGAGAAGTGCCGAGGCCGCCCAGCGCTCCCGAGGCAGGCCCAGGCGGGAGCGGGTCCCACGCCCCGTTCTGACTGCAGAGTCCCCCAAGAGATCTGATCAATGCTAGACCGGTTGACCAAGGAGAGAACTCCCAGCTCACAGTGCAAGCATCTGATCCAGAGAGAGGCAGGGCCGGGTTTCAAACCCCGGTCTCCTGATGGCCCGGCCTGGGAAGTTCGTGCTGTCCCCTCTTGTGCTGGTAAGTGCAAGAGGGGACCTCATGGTGGTCACCCTCGTTTGTCTTCATAGCATTTATTGCTGGCCGAAATTATTTTGTTTATTTGGTTACTAATTTATAGCTTGGCCAGGCCAGTGCTGTGGGGTTCATGCTTGCAGGAGCAGTTGCAAGAAATGCTAGGTGGCTGGTCTCAGTGTTTGCCCTCCCTTGGTTCCATTTAGGTCTGAAGGCTGAGGAATTGGGGGTCTTCTATGATAATTCATTCTGTAAATCTCTCCTAAGCCTCTACTGTGTGCTAGGTCTTGTGGTTAAAGTCGTGAACACAGCAGGCATATCCTTGTCCTCATGGAGCTGACCTTCTAGACAACAGTCTATAAACTAGTAACCAAATAAACAAGATCATTTCAGCCAGCAATAAATGCTATGAAGACAAATCAGGGTGGTAAAGCAGAGTGCTGGGGGTGGGATGTGGGCTGGGGATTGGGCCTACTTAGGTGGAATGATAGAGAAGACCACCATGAGAATGGAGCATTGCAGAAGGAACAGCTGTGCAAAGACCCTGAGGCAGGAAGGACCCTGTGAACCTGACTTGCTAAACCCATTCTTGACCCTTCCTCACTGCCATCAATTTTTTCATTCACTTGCTAAAATATTTCCTGGGTGCTGGGGAAGCTGGGAATTCAGATATGACAGTCCCAGTTCCTGCCCTTTTGGAGTCAGAGAAATAAAGAGACAAGATAGTTTCAAATAGTGGTAAGAGCCGTTAAGACAATAAACAGGATCATGAGGCAGAGAGGGCCTGGGGAGGCGCTGAGTTTACTGTAGATAATAATAGCCAACTTTTGTTGGGAGCTTACTGTGTGCTAAGCAATGTTCTTAGTGCTTTCTTCAAGCCTTACAGAAATCTGATGAAATAATTATTACTGTTAGTATCCCTATTTTGCAGTTTAAGAAACTGATGCACAAGAAGATTAAGTAACTTTTCCAAAGTAAAACAGCTAGTAATGGCAGGATGGGATTCTGACATAGACTTTCAACCTTTGTGTGACACTGCCCCCATGAGGCTGGGCCGGAGAAGTCTCTTTAAGGAGGTGGCATTTGAGCTGGGCCTTGAATGGTGAGAAGGAGCCAGATCTGGGAAGATCTAATTGAATGGAGGGAACAGCAAGTGCAAAGGTCCTGAGGCAGGGAGAGGTCAGCATGTTCTGAAAAAAAAGAAGCCCCTGTGTCTCTGGAATGTAGTGGACAAGGGAGAGTGGTAGGAGATGTGTTGGAGAAGTAGGCAGGGGCCAGGTCATGTAAGGTCCTGGTACTCAGTCTCAACCACAGCCCCCTTTTATAGCAAAGATTTTGTAACATCCCCCTTTCCTTTCCTGAAACGAAATTCCCCATCAATAATATAACTTTTGTACCCAAAGAATTTGAAAAAATTAATACAATGCCCTAATAGTAATTAATATAAAGGAGAAAAAGGAAAAATAATTTATAATGAAAATAGGGTTTATTCCAGCATGTAAATGCTAGGATTCTGCCAAAATATAATGAGGTTATAAGGAAGCAGCGAGATGTTCACACCTCTGGGTAGAATCACTGAGCATGTGGCAACCACAGTGCAGACCAATACAGGTGTGTTGTGTTGGCCACTGAGATCTCCTGCAAGAGTCATTGCTGTGGCAGCATGGTATCCCAAAATGGTGAGCAGCTGTAGGTAAGGATTCTAATAAAGTATGCTGTCGTCTTCCCTAATGTACCACAGTAGTTGCATTCCTGGGAATTTCAGTGTATATTAAGACTGCAAAAAACACCCTGTGTTTATATGTAAACAGCTGGGTTCTGTGCCCCAGTGATCCTGACCAGGTTTTCCCTCTGTGGCTTTCTTTGGGACATGTCAAGTCATATGAGACTTGGGACAGCTCTTGGCTGTGCACGACTAGCTCACACCTTGTAGGGCAGCTGGCTTCCCTGGACCCAGCCCAATAGATGCCACGAGGACTTCACTATCAAGAGGGAATAGAAAGCATCCCCCAGAATTTCCAGAACACCTCCCAGGAAGTAGTGCTGCTTCCATTGAGAACCACTGACATAGAGTGGGAAGGCTTCAACACAGGGACTAGATTTTGTTCTAAATGAAGTGAGAAGCCAAATGGGGCATTTTAAGCAGAAGGGCAGTTTTCCTTCCTTTTCAGTACACCTTGACAGGGAGTACTGTGTGGTTTTGATGTTCCCAGCCAGCACTGGGTCAAGTGTAGAGCCCCACCTGATCCACCAGGCTCAGACCCTGGACATTTACCTTCTGTCATGCTTTATGTCCTTTAGCCACCGAGTATCACCTAGGTCTGCTGAAAGCAAAACTCGCCAAGTATCGGGCCCAGCTCCTGGAACCATCCAAATCTGCCTCATCCAAAGGAGAGGGCTTTGATGTCATGAAGTCAGGCGATGCCCGTGTTGCACTGATTGGATTTCCTTCTGTGGGTAAGGTCAGTGATGGTCAGTGTGGGCCTTGGGGAGAAAGGCAGGAGGTCATCTTCCAAACAGATGACTGTCTGCGCCTCCCTGCACAGCTAACCCAGGGCCCCCACAGGATCAGTTTCCACCCCTTTATCTTCCTAACACAGAGGATGTTCTTGCCTCTTGCAAGCAGAAGTAGCTGCACATGGTCTCCCAACTCAGCCATCACGCACAAATGTTTATGGAGTTGTGTACTATGTGCTGGTACTGCCAGGTACTGGAGACACAGCAGGAATGAATGTTCCTACCCACACAGAACTCCCATTCTCAGGGTGTATCAAGTGGTGAGGAGTGGGGGGGGTGGCGAGTGATGGGGTGGAGGTCCTGCTAGTTATGTCAGGGGGTCTGGGAAGGCTTCTCTGGCCAGGGGATATTTGAGCAGAGGCCTAAAGGAGGTGAGGGAGCTTGCAGAGCCCTGGGCAGAAGAAAAGTGAGTGCAGAGGCCCTTAGGTGGGAGCTCACTTGGTGTGCTTGGGGTGGGGTTGGCCAGGGCAGATGGGGCTGAGTGAGCGGCAGGGAGAGCAGTAAGAGAAGAGTCAGAGGATGGGGGAGCTTGTGGGCCGCTGAAGGACTTTGGATTGGAGTGAAGAGTGAAGCGGAAGGCACTCTAGAGTTTTCTCGGTTTCTTTTGAAAGCTTCTCAGTTTAGCAGAAAATCTATATTGATTTACTTTTTATGTGGGGAGTAAGATAAGTATCATTGCAGGGTTTTGAGCAGAAAAGAGACATGAGCTGACTTTTTCTTAAATGAGCCTTTTTTTTTTTTGACAACTTTCCTATACAGAGATCCAAACCCTTGACCTTGGTGTTACAACACAGCACTCTTAGCAACTGACCTAACTGGCCTGCCCTAAACTTTTTATTTTAGAATAGTCTTGGTTTGGGCTGGCTGGTTAGCCCACTTGGTTAGAGTGTGGTGCTGGTAACATCAGGGTCAAGAGTTCAGATCCCATATTGGCCAGCCACCAAAAAAAGAGTAGCCTTGGATTTACAGAAAAATTGCAAAAATAGTGCAGAGTTCTCATATACCCCACATCCAGTTTGCCTAATGTTAACATTCTACACTAGTGTAGTACACTTGATGTAGTCACTAATGAATCGGTGTCGGTTTGTGATTATTAACTCAAGTCCATATTTAATTCAGATTTCCTTAGTTTTTCCCTACTGTCTTTTTCCTGTTCCAGTGTCTCACATCACATTCAGTTCTTATGTCTCCTTAGGCTCTTCTAGACAGCTTATAGTGCAGAGTTCTCATATACCCCACATCCAGTTTGCCTAATGTTAACATTCTACACTAGTGTAGTACACTTGATGTAGTCACCAATGAATCGGTGTCGGTTTGTGATTATTAACTCAAGTCCATATTTAATTCAGATTTCCTTAGTTTTTCCCTACTGTCTTTTTTCTGTTCCAGTGTCTCACATCACATTCAGTTCTTATGTCTCCTTAGGCTCTTCTAGACAGCTTCCTTGACTTGATTTTATGACCTTGACAGTTTTGAGAAGTACTGGTCAGGTTTTTTGTAGGAAGTTCCTCAATTGGGGATTGTCCAATGTTTTTCTTGTGGTTAGACTAGGGTTATGGGTTTGCGCGGGGGGTGGGGGGTAGACCACAGAGGTAAAGTGCCTTCTCATCACATCAAATCAAGGGTCCAGAACCCTGTTGATGTTGACCTTGACCCCCTGTCTGAGGAAGTGAGTGTCAGGTTCCTGCACTGTAGAGTTGCTGTGTACTTACCCTCCTGAGAGTTCATCCTGTAAGTACCATCCTGTCCTCTCAGGAGGGAAGTCACTATGCACAGCCCCCACTTAAATGGTGTG